TACTACTACTACTATATGAAAAACAGAAGTAGTAGCAGAAAGTAATACTAGTAGTTGTTGTAATTTCAGTACTAGATCTACTACTGGTTAACTACTAGTATTTCATTTTCTCAARCTATTTCAATTTTTCACACAGTTGTAGTAATAGATATCAGCATCACTAGAATCAGCAATAGCAATGCGGAGGCTTTCACTCTGAGCAGTGTGACTGATGAACCAAGAATACCAAACTATCAGTCAACTGCTCAGAAGAAACAGAAGCAGAAGCAGAAGCAGCAGAAGAAGACGAGCAACTGAAACACCCCACCCCCAGACCAAGACCTCAGAGGAGATCTCTCCGTGTACCAATTCTGGAAGCGAGGCACGACCACAGTGTTTGACGTCAGAATCACTGACACTGATGCAGAGTCCTACCAGAAGACTGCGCCTTGGAAACTACTCCAGGAGCAAGAGAGAGATAAGAAGAAGAAATATTTGGATCTCTGCCACGAGGCCCACCGCCACTTCACYCCTCTGGTCTACTCCATTGATGGCATGGAAGGCAAGGAAGCAATTGCTGCACGCAAGCAGCTTGGAGCCAAACTTGCTGCCAAGTGGGGAAGACACTACTCTCAGGTATGCAGCATGGTTAAATCAAGACTTGGATTTGCTTTAGCAAGAGATGCTCGAGAGGCACTCGCGACGCCAGATTGAAATTCAATCAGCCCCTGGATTGGATTTTGCAATCGGGTGTTCGAGTGTATGCTTATTAAGCTGGATTCCATCTTGTCTAGTTTTTTATCAGTGTTTTCAGTGGGGTTTCCCACTGAGATATAGTGCTCGGAAAAAGCATCGATAGAGGTGCTCGGAAATGTCGGATCAAGCTCCGATGCATCGAAAATCGTGCTTCGACGCAAACTGAACTCTCGTAGTCAGATTTCACATTTCCGTGCAAATAACACGGGATTTCAGTGTGATTTCCCACTCGATCGATTCAGGTTTTTTCAGGTTTTTCCTCGTACCGTACGTATGATCAATCGTGTGATCGTATGATTATTACGGAGTAGCTCGTAGTAGAA